ACAGACCGGGGGATGAATAGATTGAGAGCAGCCTTGTGGAGAAGGACTTGGGCATACTGGTAGATTAAAAATCAGATATCAGCCATCAATGTGCATTTGCAGCTCAGAAAGTCAACTGTAACCTGGGATACATCAAAAGAAGCGTGAACAGCAGGTTGAGGGAGTTGATTCTCCCCCTCTACTCCGCTCACCTAAAACCCCATCTGGAATCCAGCTCTGGGGCCCTCAACGTAAGAAGGACATGGACCTGTTGGAGTGAATCCAGAGGAGGGCCACAAAAATGATCAGAGGGCTGGAACACCTCTTCTATAAAGAATGGCTGAGATAATTGGTATTTTTCAGCCTGGAGACGAAAAGGGTCCAGGGAGACCTTACTGTGGCCTTTCAATATTTAAAGGGGGCTTACAGTAAAGATGGAGAGAGACTTTTACCAAGGTCTGAAGAGACAGTACAAGGAATAATGGTTTTACACTGAAATAGGGCAGATTTAGATTAGAGGTAAGGACAAAATTCTTTCCTGTGATGGTATTAAAATACTGCAGCAAGTTGCCAAGAGAAACTGTGGATGTCCTGTCACTGGAAGCATTGAAGGTCAGGTTGAATTCGGCTTTGAGCAACCTGATCTAGTGAAAGATGTCCCTTGCCCATGGGAGGGGTGGTGGAACTAGATGATCCCTTCCAATCCAAACCATTCTATGATTCTATGACTTTCTCAGTTCCAATAATCTGCTAGCCTTGATTTATATATCTGCTATATGGCTATATATAGCAAAAATCACAGATATTACAAAAAAACCCCCCAAAAACCTGAAAAAGACTTGAAGATACCATCAAGAATTCCCTAATAAAACACCAGAAATGTACCCATGCTAAGTTGTCTGCACTTCCCAATAAAATCCAACAGACCCAAGGTATTCTTTTATAAGCAACTGCTTAACTATTTCCTTGATAGTGTAATTCTACAGAAAATTTCCACGACCAAATATTGTTTTCGCAGTATATAATAATACAGAAGTATTTATTTTTATTTGCTGTTTCCCTTGTTGCTACTAAATATCTATAGTTAGGTCTATTGCATGTTCTGGATTTACAGGTTACACACAATAACATTCAGGTATTCCATGGAAAGAAGAGGGAGTGAGACTAGTTTAAAAACCCTCATGACCTCTGATCATTCAAACTGTCAGAAGAAACCCCAAAAGAGAAAATTAAAACCTTCACTAATCCCAGGCAAAGTTAGAGTTTAACGAAAATCCATAATAATCTGGGTTGACTACCATTGTCCACTGTAATGCTGCCACAGGCATAGCAATACCATAGAGAAATATTCTGTCAATAAGAGTTGCTATAGAAGGAAAAAAAAAATCCTAAATAATTTACAATATCTGATACAAGGCTGCACTAGAAAACAGACTGATAAACAAAAAAACAAACCACAGAGAATAAACATGAGGGACTTACTATCATGAGCATCGAAAATTAACACAACCAAGTATGAAGCATTGCTGCATGTTGAATAGGATGTGGGGCCACCAACCATCAAGGATTGCCTTGAGAAGGTCTGTGTTACTGCCTGGTGACCTATAGCACAGAGAGGGTTTTCCCATCTCCACAGGCACCAAGCTCTGCTGGGGGTACCAGTGACAGGCAACAAAAGAAGCTTCACGGGCTTAGCTCCCTGACATTCATGACATGACTCACTAACTCAGGAGTGGTTTATTACAGAAATAACCACACTTGTAGCCTGTAGAACACAAACTTTTGAAAATGTCACAAAAAAACTCCCCAAAACCTCAGCTTCCTCTTGTGTTATCTCCTATTCTTACAGCTTTGAGAGCTCTCCAGAGGTTGCTTTTAAAAAGTTCTCTAAGGGAACATGGGGAGATAGACGCCCATATCCTAAAGAACTATAAATTTCTAATTATGTTAATAATACTGTAAGCTGTCTTACCTCCTAGTTATGAATTAAATAGCCTTGTCAAATACAAACTGAGGACAACACTGAATGAAGCCCTCAAACTAGTTATTTTCACTCCCTATTCTTCCTTTCCTTAGTCAAACACAATAAGTTTGTCAAAACCATTTGAAAGAGAAAATAATATCAGTTAAAGAAAAGAAAAAGTTGAGTTTCACACCTCAGCAATTTCAAAGTCATCTTAAGTAACTTGGAAACCCTACTATGCCACAATGCACTCTCCATGAAGAATGGCAGAAACCATTTCGGTAGACATTTTTATTGTGACAGAGATTTAGTGTGCCATCGTCCTCAACTAAACTTTTAACAAGGTTATTTAATTTACGATTTTGAGGTAAAAACAGTTTGTAGTGTTTTCATTAGCATAATTAATCATATCCTGTTCTTCAAGAAGTGGACATCTGTCACATGTGACTCCTGTACACATTAACTCTGTCATTCTTTCTATGTCAGAATAACCTCTGGACGTGTTCCAGTTCTCTAGTAAGAGAAATGCCATTGTAAAAGCTTGGGTATTAAGAAGTAGTAGACCATACTGTGTAAAAAGCACTTGGAACCTGTCTTTATAATTTGTTGTTAGGCTATAAGCCACACTGCACCACCAATGACTTGCAGTAACAAAATTTGCAAATATGGCCAAAACAAAACATTTATCAGAGTTAGGACAGAGTAGATCTTTCTTTTCCAGCTAAATGGGTTTAGGAATCTTAAACTCACTGAAAAGTTTGCATCCTGTCTTGGACTGACAGGATGACTTACAGTTACTGAACTTTATCAAGATAATATTTTTAAAGGGATTATTGACTAGATCTTACTTTTTCATATTTAGTTACAAGGTGGAAAATCATGGAAGTGTCACATGAAAGACAGAAGTATCTCTGTGCTAATGTCAGCGGCCTATAGTAAAGGGACTGAGGTTAAAGCCCTATTTAGCTTGACAATAATCCACAGATCTATTTAAACCAACATTATTTTACTTAGCAGAAGCATGGCAAAACGAAAAGCAGAATTATCATTTAGTTTCCATTAACAGCAAAAAAGTTCTGCAGAGCTGCACCTATTCTTATACGCTTACATGCTTTAAAAAAACAAAGCCAAAAACGAACAAAAAAACCCCCAAAACCCCCAAAAACCCCCCCAAAAACAAAAGCAGAAACCAAATCACCCAAACTCCCCAAATGCTCTACACCAAATGAAAAAATGTTTCCGTCACAAATTACTGCTACACAGACCTCCTTGGGAGCTAAACTTTACTCCCAAATCTTTCGGGGCAGGTGGAAAAGAGTGATCACAGCAGCATATTAATGACAGCAGTGGTAAAAATTCAGGGTTTCCATTAAAAGTGAAGGCACAGCAGAGTGACCACACAAGAAGAATTACTTGGAGAAAGAGTGAACTTTGTGAAGTTTTAAGCAACCAAGTTCAGCAGTAAGAATAATAGGGAGGTATTTACAGAACGAACACCATCCCCTCTGCTGCTGTTTTAGCTGTGCAGAATCCATCCCACCCCATTCTTTCATGCTACACAGATCGTGCACTTGATTTTAGCACCCCATCAAATGCAACTCCTCTAATAAGAGAATACAGAATTAGGCACCAATGATCAAGCATCAAAATAAAACTAAGCAGAATGGAAATCAGAGAAGTCTCAAAATCCCAATCAGTAGTGCATGGCTCATCTGATCCAAATCAGCATCAAAGTGTCATTGCTGATCAAAAAGAGAAAACCCTGATAACTGAAATCACCCCATAAATCTGCATCCTTTTTCATAATTCTGACTGCAAATCAGCCATTTAATATCAGCCTTTATTCACCTCTGTTCAAGTCTTTTATTCCTCTGTTTTAGTAGAAAATGGAGATCCTGGCACAGAGCATGACAGAAACTTCTGTTCCAGCTCCTACTCTTATTGAGACACGGGCTGCAGTTCTTCCCTAATCTTTTAGTCATACCGTCCCCATTCAGAGCTCCAGTAGGACATAGGCATCCCCTGATCCTGGCCAGCTGGCCACTCACAGCATGAGAAGAAGAAACCTTGACAAGGGACAGGGTAGGACTGGTCCTGGTGATGGTGGCCCCCATTTCTGTTTGCTTATCCTGTCACACCTCTAGGCAGAGCACCACCAGCCAGGGTCCATGAACTTCCTGGACACTTTAAGGACCAGAGGACACTGTGGGTGTGCTCTCTGTGATGCTGTCCTCTGCCTCCTGTTTATTTTCATTTTTTTAACTCCTTATTTTCATTTTTTTGACCATTGCTCCTCCTCCTCCTTTTTCTCACTTGCTGCCTTCCATGCTATTTCATTTTCTTCTGGTCTCCTCTTTGTCTTTCAAGGAGGTGGAGCAAGCGGGGAACAGAAGAGGTTGCTGGCTGTTCCTAGTGCAGGAAATTGGTGCAAGCAGCAGTCAGCAGCGGTGGGAGGGAGAACCCCAACCACGAGCCATCAGTGGTGCCCAGAGCCACAAGAGCAGGAGCCTGAGCTATGCCATACTTCCATCTTACCCCACAGAAGGGAGAGATGAAAACTATGGTACTGTTGGAGACACCATACCACACCAAGGCAACACACTACAATAGGTTTGCCTTACAGGTGACAGGTTACATACTTCTAGAAGCACTTCTTATCTTTGGATAGTAAATCCTCTGCCCTCATTCAGGCAAAACCCAAGTTTCCCTCCTTGTTTTGGCTCCAGCACTATTTCCACAAGTGCAACTGCTCCACACACACACACGAGACTTCTGGTGAAATACCAAAACAGAAAATTATTAATGCTAAAAAAAACCAAACCAAAACAAAACAAAAACCCCAACTTACACTAAGAGGGTTTTATAACAGTTCAACTTGAGTGGCTGGAGTTTTTTCATCATATCGATATTTTGTAATTTCTTTTTGTGGAGAGCAAAATTTCCTAAACAAATGCTGCAGTTTATCTCTTGACATATACAGGGGGAAAAAAGGTATTTTAAATAGCTGCAAGAAACTCTTCTCATGTTACTCAAAGTAAATGGTTAGAAAGCCACTTACCCCCAGTTGCCACAGTAATTTCACGTAGAAAATGGCCATAAAACGGAAAATCAAATGACAGATTCACTCTCTGAAAGGAAGAACACCACAAAATAAAGTTGGTATTGTGCACAAAGGTAAGAGAAAACAAAATGAACTCTTCTCTGCTTCAAACATCTGTTTCATTGCTTTTTATTTTTCACTGGAGCCTTGCTATTCTTAATTTGAAATTGCCAATAGCTAACTGGAAACAATTCTGTTTAGCACTTAAACATCTGAAAGCAGTGGATCTTCATAACGGATAACTTCAGAAAACAAAATACATCAGCAGACATCATAACTCTCTCATAAGAAGGAATAAAGATTTGTAGAGTTTTTCCCTAAAAAAAATGTTCCTTTGATCTCTTTCTTAAGAGAAGCCATCAATATTTAAGGCCTTAGCAATACCTAAGTTTTACAGGATGCCCACTCCCCTGGCTTTGGGTGGTTTCCTCCTCTGCCATATGCTCCTTCAGATTCAAATGCTCTCATCCTGCTGCTACCTGGGTGCTTATCTGATGAAGGCTGGTTACTAGAAGGCAATTCCTTGATCAAACCCACACAACACCAGTTCCCAAACCTCTCTATACTGTTAACTACGAGCTGAAATAATTTAAAATGAAATATTCAACAGCAGCGTTAGCAAACTCTACTTAAGGTACTTACTGAAAAATAAAAAAACTGAAGAAAAATCTTCTTTCCCGTTTCAGCCTACAGGTAACTATCCTCTGTCAGCCGAATTCACAGCAGAGAATTGTAATGTGGAGAACAGACTCTTCTCCTCACCTAAGCTCACCATAAAGCACTATTCAAATTCAAACTCATTTTCTCTCTCTTCCTGTGGCTTTCTCCTTTTCCATCTATTCCACTCCTTTCCCAAAGCTCACTGATTACTGTGGCCCCCCCTCAATTATCACGTGGTGTGCTACCTGGCTAAACTCTGAACAAATCGTTAGGCATGACAGAAATGAGTGCTGAAATCTCAGTAAGGTATTTTCATTGACTAAATGTAATATCCCATAAAAACCACATCACTCCCATAGTGGTCCGAAGACCAAACCGGAACTGGGTACGTAGCCCGTTATTATTTGCTATTTAGGAGGAGTTACTACAATAAAAACCGGTGTGAAGATGGGTTGTTGGTGACTGTCCCTCATCTGTAACCTTTGATGTCTCCCCTTAAGAAAGGGCAACAGCCCATCCATTTGAAAAAAAAAAAAAAAAAAAGAAAAAAATAAAGAAAAAAAAAGGGAAAAAACCCTTTTGTCTTCATTTTCTTTACCATTATTTCTGTCCTGGGTTTATTATTTTCAGATTACATCTGAGTATTTTTTGTCTCAGGAATAATCATATTTACATCCACCAGAAATGTTTAAAGAATTATTTAGCATGAAATTAACAGGTAAAGATTTACAGTAACTTTAAATTAGATCTGCTTTCCACTTAAGTGGAAGACAGAATTTTGACAGGATTTATTAGCACTTTTTTGTTTGATTTTAGAGTGCAAAATCCATTTGCATTGTGTTAATTGGACTGAGTAGGTTCTAATGACCTTTTTTGTATATACATAAATATGGATATACAACTGAACATTTCCAATCAATATGGCATATTCAAAAAGACAGTTAATGAATTAACTTAAACAAATGGCTTTTCCATGTTCTAAAGTCTTCACTGCTGAGGTGTGTGCTACATTTATGTATGTGCTCCATTTAAATTACGTCCTTGCTCTACCAAACACAATTTCCAAGAACACTCTTAAAAACATCACTTTTCTGACCAAACCTTCTCTCTTTCCTTTATACACTATTGTCCATTTTACCTATTAACATTAACTTTCCAAATAACACAATAGTCATTAAACTGCTTCACAAGAAAACTGTGCCCCCTTAACTGTCTTCTAAATTGCTATAATATAAATATTAGCATAAAGAAGTTTGCAATGCAGACTTGATCCTATGCCTGTTCAAGCCAGATACAGATCTCTCATTGACTTCAATCAAAAAGTGATGCCTTAAATTCTGACCATATAAAAATGTTTAACGTAGACAATTGCTTAGTGTAATACCGTAATGAACCAACAACATTTAAGGAATGTTTTAAAGTATAATATTGTAACAGCCACTAGAAATAAATGTGGTTTTACTTTTGCTGCTAGAAAGCATACCTCATTTCTCAGAAAGAATATAAAAATCTTCAACCCACTGGAATAAGAATGTTTTCTCCATTTTTTATGTTTTTCTGCATACAGGATAGAATGGATTGACAGGAAAGGGAATTGAGTTTCCAAACATAAGGTGATCTTGTATCTAGTTCAGTGTTTAGATATCTAATATTTGATTACTCAATCTAAACACACTGAGTATCCAAGCCACACCTAAAATTTTATTATACAGATAACATGGTGGCTACATATATATATATATATATATATAAAAAAACCTCACTTAAATCCTGTAGTGCTAGATGTTTTCATTGTTCCACTAATATTTTTTTGGGGGAAAGCAACACACAATGACTGTGCTGTTTACAAAGCCAAGCCATCTCACGGATCCTATCTTTATGACTTTTTCTGTAGAAGCAAAACCAATAGGCAGCTTCTGAGAACTCTTAAGATTACATAGTTCCAAAAGGAAAACACAAATTCAGTGTAAAATTTTTATCAAAGAATCCCTGACATTATTAGAAAAAGTCATTAATACTTAGCATGTAGCAATGTAACTCCTTGTTCTACTGTCAAAGTGGAGAATAATCTTTAGAAGTTATCAGCATGTAAATCACCAAATCACAGAAAGATGTGCAAAATGCCCTTTTAGAAAGAGTAATGGCAAAGTTCATCTTTACGGAAGAGAAGGGAAGAGATTGCTGCATAGTTATGTATGATCTGCTCAGAATGTATGACTCTACAGTTGTTATACAGTTATAGAGAACACATCTCTTTTTAAAACAACTTAGTTGTGTAGTACACATGGCTGCCATTTACTCAGACACATACAAGAAATCAATTACAGACCCATAAATAAAATATAAAGCCTTACAGGATGACTCACTGGTACTATTTCATCCTTCAGGAGGGACATAAAACAAATGTCTGAAAAAGAGGTCTTTAAAATAGCACGTAGACATGGCTGCAGCCACTCGAGTTCACAGTCCAAGATATTTGGGTAAGAATGAAAAGAGATGGGTATCAGTGTGCTAAACTGGGACCACAGCTTTCTCTGCTAGAGCAGGCAGAAAGACTGGGCACCTGACATTCAGCAGAGAAGTTTTAAACCACTTATTTTGGGGAGAAACAGTTGAAACCCTTATGCTGCCAAGCTCTCCTCTCCCATGCTGAATGGTCCTTCACACCAATCCCACACCCATACTAATAGCATTGTTTCATTTTAAACCTCTGCCTCAATAACTTCAACATTTTACCAGGCAGCATGAATACAGTAAGTTAAACAAAATTATTTACACTTTGTGATATTTATTTGTCGATACCCTGAAATTGCGATCACATCTATCACTTCTGTTACTATGTGACATTCTCATGAGTTTTATCAGTTCTCCCAAAAGAAAAAATAAGTGTGACACCTTGTACAAAATGGAAGTGCAAACACAGATACACTCCATGGGACACCTGAACTTCAGCAACTTAATCCTGAACCCAGTTCTATTGATATTGAAGCCAATGGTAAAATTCTTTCTGACTTCAGCAACACTAGTTTATTGTTTGATAGTTTGTGATCCTTAAAAATCCTAACTGTGTTGGTCACTGATGAGAAATATCCATGTCACTCAAAGAAGAAAAAGTTATAACGACTTACTGCTGCTTGCCGATGGGTATTGGAAAGGATCCCATGAATCTTTACTTTGTCTTTCTCCATTTGGTCTATATTGACCCACAAATCTCGGCTGGTAGAATCATATGGGCCGTATGTCCTTGAAGTATAATAATTATGATCTGTGTCCTCCTGAAAGGCGGAAAAAAATCCCACAGCAAATACAGATTAGAATGGTAGATGTGCTTTAGTTTTATATAAAACTCACCCTTGAAATACTGAGTTCTGTTGCTCCTGGAAGCAGCAGAAAAAGACTTCACTGCAAGTCAAATGCAGAAAAAAGTACAAATTGCAAATGTGTTGCAGAACACAGCTCTGCTTCTATCCACAAGCAGTCGGCAAGGCAAACAGTTACCTCATGCAATCATCTTTCATCATAATGATAATGTTCACTATTCCCAAATCCCAATCATACAGTTCTTGTGACTGTATCAGTGAAGTATATGGCAAAATGTGTGATAGCTTTTGAAGGCAAGCTGGCCAGTAGGTTCCTGTTACAACTGCCGTGCTCTAACAAAGCGATGAGCAGTATTTATGGCTAACACCTTAAAAAAAATTGTATGTTTTAACTTTTCTAAACATAATTTATTAGAATATCCTTTTTAGGAACATCCAGAAAACTCCTAATAGCTACAGGCTTAAAATGCTATTTCATTGTAAATCAACAAAAGACTGTTTTACTGTACATTTGCCACTCAGAGAGAGACAAACACAAATATATTTGTGGAAGAAAGCTTCCCAGTTCTCACGGTCTTTAAAATGACAGTAGCTGCTGCCATGCTCATGTTACAGCAAATTCAGAGGTAAAATATACAAATCCTACATGTGCCATGGGAGGCTGTGCTAGTGGTCCATCAAATTCTGCAGCTTGCAGATATCCAAGTCCACAATCAAAGGCATGGTTCAGAAGACAGTCAAAGTCTTGGCAATGTCTGTTTATTTCAATGACAAAGCTGAGACTCTTAACACTCAAAATATTCTGTATGACACTCAACCTCACTGGAATCAATTTACACTTAAAATCACGTAAATTTAGCACATAAAGTAAAATTTTGAAATCTTATTATGCAAAATTTAGGAAGTGTTTAAAAAGCTAAGTATAGGAAGTTTCAAAATTTCTGTCGAGGCCAGTAACTATGATGGTCTGTATCTTCCTGAAAGATATCTAAGACAGGGAAAGGGAAAAAAAAAAAAGTGCATGGTGAGAGATGAAACACACCCGATTCCTAGTCTTCCTTAACTTGTCCCAAGTTGCTGTAACTGTAAAAAGCTTAAATCAACACCTTTGTCAGCTTTCTGCTGAATAGTACAGGAAGTACAGTAAAAGTAGTACATGATCGTATTTCTCAGTTCCTTCCTCCCTTCCTTCTCCTCTGACAAAGTAAAATTAAAAAAAAGCCTCAATGACATTGTTTTAAAATCAGAATAAACTTAGAAAATAAACAGCAGCATAGAAAATGGAAGAGGAGGACATAGAATTTAGAACTTCCCCTGGTGATGGAGAAGTTCCTCTCCTGCACCACCTCCTATACTGAGCAAAGCGGCATGGCACTGCCCTCACACCATGCTGTGCTGCCATGCAGACCTGACACTCTCTCCCCAGAACATACACAACCCATTCCTACTGACGGGGTCCTGAGATGAAGATCCTTTTGACAAGGGCTTATATGCTAGATGAAATGGTTCATATTCTAAGTGAAATATATTGACCATAAATCCTGTTTCAGCTGGAATTCATCCTACATTAACACCAATACTGATGCATTTTACTTAAGCTGTTGCAGATATAATCAGGTTATTTTCTCCTTGATATTCGCTATGTCTTCTGCTGTACTTTATATGCCACAATGTACTTGCCCAGTAAATCTCAGTGACACTTTTGAAGCAACTTCTAACAACTTAGAGCAGCTCTAGGTTAGTCAAACAAGTAAACATAATTAAAACTATACTGTCACAAAGACGACAAAAGCCAGCCGCCTTACCAAATTCTTTTCTTCTTTAATGGTCAACAGAAACAGTTATTACTGTCATGTACAAAAAGGAGGTACAGTAAATTAAAAGGTTTTGACAACAAAGATGTATTTTTCCCAGTCTAATTTATCATTCTGACAGAATTTCCATAGAAAATAAAAGTTACATTTAAGGCCTCGTAAAGTTTCAAGGTAAGAGCTCTGAGAGAAAAAGAGGAACAAATAATTACCAAAATAGCTTGTTTCAGATACACATGTAATATTTAAACTATAGTTAAAACTGTGCAGTTAAAAGTTTTTGCATTTTCAGTTTTTCATAACTAATGAAGCTACTCCAGTTAATTACTAGTAGCTAAGCCCCCACCATCTACAACTAGAAGGCTCTAACACTGAGCCTAGTTGGTTGCTCTGTAACAATGCATTAAATGGTATCAATCCATGCTAAAAGCAGACTCATCATACATCTTGTAAAGACTCAAGTTATAGCCTTCAGCTCAACAATTTTGGAATTACTCATGTATAAACAAGTAAAAAACCTCAGATTCTTCTGGAAGGAAACAAATCCACTTCTGCTTGGATGATAGAAAGAAAATAGAATTCCTCTTGCTCTTTGGAAAATCTTCATAACCTTCATGCAGGTGTATTTTATGAATGCACCATTAAATATTTCCCTCTCAGATCCTTTTTTTTTTTTTTTTTAAATCTTATCTCAAAATTTACAATATGACTACAAAAAGGAGCATACAGCTTACCAATAAAGTTGGCCTGAGCAGCTCAGGAGCTCTTAGAAAGATTAGGATTCACACTGGCATTCCAAATCACTGCCTTCATAGTTTTCAACATGCATTACCATGGAAATTAAATTGTTGGAATCTTCCATAAATTTCCCAGCTGTACAGAAACACTTTATTGGTAGCAATAGATACCTATGAGTTTTCACTCTGACAGACCTCTTTATGGGCTTTGGTTGGTTGCACCTGCTTCATAATTCATTCCATCCTCTACAGGTACTACATGCAAAAGAAGATGGAAAAAATCATTTAGAAATAATGCTGAAGGTACATGTAAACTACTGAATTAAGAAAATAATTTTAATAGTTATATGACTTGCAGATATAGAGTTCTGCAGATAGGTAGAAAGAAGGGAAACAAACTTGACAGTATCTTTTAATGATGTAGAAGCAGGTTACTAAATGAAAGTACATGCAGAAAAAGTACAAAACATACACATTTTTATGGAAAAAAGACAATTTTTCTTTTTATTTTGTTCTCCAGGTATTTTGGGGATATGAGAGTTATTTCCCAATGCTTCTCTAGGTGTACAGTCCTGTCCAAATACTGCATATATATGAAGTAGGAAGCACCTTGCTTCTATTGACAAGTACAGCTTTTAAGCAAAGGATTTTTCCGGAGCCTTTTTGCACCAGCTATGAGGATTACTGTTGTCAACCTTTGTGAGTATGAAGGGAATATTTATTAGAACCTTTCTCATAACTCTTCCCTTTTGAGGAAATGTTATTTTTTACCTGAGGCAATCTTCAATGCTGAGTTGCCATCTTATCGTAGATTGTAAAGAAAATTAATTTCTTACAGTTTTCACAAGGGATATTGTCTGATGACACCTTGAATATATTCCCATACTTTTCCAACTGCAACTGAATTTTCTCAAGAGAGCTAAATGCATACACTATTCATGAAAGCCCAGCACAACTGAGGATCAAGCCTTCTTTAAATTCTCTGTGTTCAGTATTTGTCAAATTCAATGACTGAGCATCCATTCCACACGTTACATATACAGATACTCCCAAATACAGTCCAAACATCATATATCTGTTTCCTCAGTAACTGCTGTCCCTTAACTGATTAAGGCTTCAAATGTGTGAGGTGAGCTGTTCCAATCAAAACAGTATAATGTAACTATGTGTGATATTTAAAAGCAACAAATTCATGTTGCCTCTGAAAAGCTTACTAATTACTAACTGGAGTTCTGGCCAAAGTAGTACATGAAAATAGTACTGAAACAGACATGAAACAATAAATTTCTCTCTCGACAAAATAAGAGATCATGATTCAATGATGATGTAAACACATATGCAAGCACAGGACTTTATAGGTTTAATTCTTTTCCTGTCACATTTTTTCTTTAACAGCACCTGAAAGATACTGTAAATCTCTAGGAGACAGAGGATATTATCAGACAAGATTTAGGTTAGGAATAAGAGCCTCTGTTGAATCCAATTGCATCATTATTTTGCTTTTAAATAGCGGATCCAATTTGGATCCAAACCACAGATGTTACTGAACAAAAAGTTTTGCCAAATATGTAACTGTAAGGCTATAACTGAGACAAACTAGTAACTTAAACCAGAGAAAAAGCAGCTGGCATCCAGGAATGAGCTCTGCTGTTGCACAATAGCATGCTATAGAGAAACTCTTAGTTTCTTTGCAGTCAAAGAGAGGAAGACATTCACAAAGCAAATCACTATAGATCAGCCAGCCAGACAGCAGTTACATTTTGTAGCTTAAGTTTTGGTTGTATTCTCCAGGTCCTGGGAGACCGAGATGTTTATTAAAAATAAGTGAGTAAAGAAATAAATACATAAATCATCCAAGGCCCCTAATCTTCAAATATTTGTCATTAAGAGTCATGAATTATCACCAGATGCAAGAGAAGACAAACAGAATGCATTTAATTTGATAACTGTTGTCCCTTTAAATTTCTATTTATTGGAATTGCATTTTCAGACTCCCATTGAGACAACACCACAGCGAACAAACTCTGAAGCCATCAATGACATGGAGTTAGACTTTGTAGATACCTAATTTTATCCCTGTAAAAGGAAGGTCTGGTACCCAATTTTTAATGAAACGCATTAACAAATTGCCTAAGTATTGCTAAAATCACAGACAAGGCATATTTTTAAATTAACTGAAAGTGCTGCAGGTATTTGCCCCAAAAATAATTTGGGATTAAGAACTTCATCTCACGCTACATTCTCCAAGACAAGTGCTCTGCAGAGCCCTGAAAGGCTGTTGTGTGTGTGCAGGAGTCCTCAAAAGCAGGTTTCCACTAGAGCCAGTGTGGAAATCACTTTGTCCAGAATCTCACAGATTTACGTATGGAGGTTGTCATTGTAAACACTAAATTATGTCATCATCTGG